CCAGTCAGTTACGCGTCCAGCGGCACGCCGCACATACTCAGCACGCCCAGTTGCGCCTGGGACGACTGTCCAGCACCCGCAGCCAGCCAGGCAGCGCCCGTGCGCGCAGCACGCGATAGGCTGCTGGCCGGGCCGACGCTGACTTCCCGGTTCAGCCGACCGACAGTCCGGTCCAGACCGATTCAGATCGGCCGGACCGGTTCAGTCCCATTGTTAAAACAGTTCGGTCTGTATGTTATGGTTTCAGTCCGGTTCTCGGTTTTCAGGGTATTTTTCAGTTAAAATTCTGAGTTCAGTTCAGTTCAGTAAGTTCGTGTATGATCAGTTCATGCCAGTTCATGTCAGTTCAGTTCCAATTATTCTGGTTAAGTCTAAATATTATGTCAGGCTCAGTAGAGCATCTTAACGAAATTAATCAGTTAAGTTAACAGTCCGAGCATAGTCATTTGTAATTGATTATATTATATTTCAGTTTGATCAGGTCACGAGTATCAGCACTGCCTTTATTTTCACGAATCAGTTGGGGACTCAGACTAAGTACTACATTGATTATAATTACGGTACCATGTTTGAGGTATGTATTTCATGTCATGTATCCGCTCGGAATGGTCGCCGGTCCATTCTGGGTTCTAGTGGCCCTAGTCTGCCCACTAGAGTGTGCACATGGTGCCCGACATTAGTCCTTGCCGGCAGATGAGGTAACGGTCAGGGTCACGTTGGCGTGACGATATCAGATTCATGTTCATGTTATTACCGGTTTCATGTTGAGGTTATGTATATGCCAAGATCATGATGTTGTTATTAATTTCAATGTTTACATTAGTATGAGTTTCCACGGACCACAGTGCCATAGTGCTCATTTCCCACTTTTATTATGTTTTTCAGGTCAGGATGTCGGGCCAGGAGCGTGAGATGACGAAGGCTTCAGGACTTTTATGTTTTGACTGTGTATATATTATGACGATTTACGTTTCCGCTGATGATGGTTTTGATGAATTTATGTTTTGACCGGACTTTTGGAAAAATTATGCTTTCAGTAATCGTATGATTTTATTAAAAATTAAGATAACGGTTTTTCCAAGATAAGTCACGTTTTACGGTAGCACCCTGAATCAGTTTTCGCAAAGTAAAAGATTTTATTTTTAAATAACATTGCGAATTTTTCGCACTCTGATTTTACGATAAGGCGGGGTGTTACAATTGGTATCAGAGCACGTTTCTGCGTCTCTGAAAAGTTTTCAGTCAGTGATTTTTCAGAAAAACCTGAACCGTCATGCTCACGCCCCGTCGACGACAGGTAAGTGCTGATTTATGTTTTCAGTTATAAACATATTACTTTGTCTATGCTAGAATTATGGATCAGGGCCTTAGTTAAGATGCTCGAATCAGGATCGGACTTTAGAATTCAGGACTTTCAGATATGACTCTAGAATTCAGTATATTCATGACTCTAGAATTAGTATCTTCCGATATGACTCTAGAGTTCTTCAGGATTCATGTCAGTAATTATCGGCCATTTTTGGCAACTTGTCAAGA